ATCCGCTTTGTTTACTGTTGTTGTACCACAAAAGGGACCCAGACAAGCGCTTGAGTTTGACGTCATGGCTTCACAGCTCTTCGCTGATTGGCCGGTGCGCAGTCTACAACTTCCGGGGTTCTTGCAAACCATCTACTGTATTCCAATTCCTGACCTAGAGAAATGAAATTGAGCAGAGGCACAAGATGGCACCAGCCTGACTACTGTCAAATGCCATTACATTACAAATCTGCATTTCGCTAATGAAACTACTGCACATTGCATCAGGTTTGTGAAGTTGTAGTGTAATTCTTTTGTAAAATTATGGAAAATTGCTGTGCAGGAGCCTGGATGACGTAAGCTTGCCGGCTGAGCTTTGGATACAATCATACTTCTAAAGGATACAAGAAGGGCTTCGAAGTAGATTGCTAGATTACACAAACATGTATTGGATTACGTTTTTGAACAATTTTATAACACGGTAGAAAGCTCCAAGGACTCTGACCCAATCAAGTAATGTCATTTAGGTTAACACTTAACATTTTTCAAAGACTTCTAAATGTTAACAAGTATTTTGATGATCAGTTCTTATTTCTTCTCCTCAATTATCTATACTGTACTCATGCACATTGTTGTTTTAGACTTTTTTTAAAGGCCCTATACCTCTTGTGTCATAAAGTGTCATATAGAGTGATAATCAGGAAGTGCACGTTAAATGCTAGTTTCTGGAGGCTTTACCGTTATGACAAAACTCTACACTGGTCTCTCTCAGTTGTAGAAAAATCCTGTGAATAATTAGAATGCTCTGAAGGCATACGGTAATTCAGGAATAACTTCGGACCGCTGCAGACCCTTTCAAATGAACGTTTTAAGATGTTAAAAATCAGGTACAGCGCCTTTAAACCCTGCCCAGTTTGCTGTGTGTCAGATTTATGTCTTAGGTGTTTTCATCTTCTAAACACTCAAAGGACACAATAGCACAGACCTACCACTTTCTCTCTCTGCGTTTGAGTCTGTGCGATGCTCACTCTCCCGCTCTCGTTCTTCTCTTCACCATCCATCATTCTTGAGGTGATTGCTGTAGGATTACGGGGCTTTTGCTGTCCGCTCTGCCTGCGATTAATGTCGGCAAAAATAAAGTAGCTTATATACCACTGCAGAGCCTGGAGTGGACCTGTCTGCACCAACACAACTACAAATATGGACAAAGGAATTCAGAAACGAGGCAAAGACTTTCAAAGGTAAAGGTCTATAATATAACAACTAGTACGATCATATTTACCTGGCCAGTCACAACCGCACGCTTTGATAAAACTTTACAAAGACGGGTGGATCTGGAGCTGTATCCTGTCTCCCTGATTTCAGAGAGCGTGACTGACGGGCGGATTAACCAAGAGACGCATGCTCTGTTCACATCAAAAACAAACATGGCTGCTTACACATGAAAAAGAAGAAGAAAAAAAAAACATAAAGGACTCAGAAACAGCATGGATTTTCTCAGAATCAACGACTGAAGCACCAGTTAAATCTCAGGTAAAAGAAATGATATATATGGTTCTGAATGTTACAAAGATTTTCAAGGAGATGTCGTCCACATTTGAGCTGTAAAAGGGACAGGTTTGTTCGGCAAGTACCACATCGTAATTTTGCAGAGAAATAGAAAAATAACATAGTGCACCTCTGTTAATCTAATACAAAAGATGAGTAACAACAGAAAAGATAAGATTTCATCACACTTTTACACAGCGTTTCTTTCTCACAATAATTCTAACAGAATAATTTCACATTGTAACATTTACATATTTCTATAGAGATGTCCTTGCGCTGCCCAGACCCCAGCGACATCGCTTCTCCACAGATCTGACTTGTAATTTGTCCCCATTGGAATATTCCTGGTAAAACATGGAGACAGGAAGGTGGTGAATCCTGCACAATAAAGGCCTTGTTTACATGTACACGGGTATTTTTAAAAACTGAGAGGTTTCCCTTTGTTTGTACCCATCTTTTACATGCAAATGGTGAATTTGCCTCTAAAAATTAATCTTTCTAAAAACTCCGGCTAGAGTGGAGATTCTGGAAAACTACAGTTTGGCATTTGCGTGAGTTAAAAGGAGCTGACGTGTCAAAAGAGCGATCGGTGTTTACCTTTTGGCATTATGATGATCATGGAGCATTCAAAGCAGCAGTCGCATTTCTTCTGGTGCAGACACTTTTCATGTGTTTGTATTTGCACACACAGCTGATGAATCATATCGATGACCAGAGACAAATGAGGCTCGGAGCTCAGCAATTTTGTGACTTCTTTATCAGATCTGTGGAGAGGCGAGCCAACTCAGTAATGCACGTTTTTCAAGGTGTTTTTGAGCAATAATAACAGCTGTAATGAAATAAATGCTACATGTTTGAATCTAATCCAGGTGTCGCCCAGAGTCTTGGCGTAGTTATGATGGTGCTCGATGGCGTATTTATGGGGGTTGATGTAAACGAAAACTTTTTTGAAAACGATGCTATTTGTGCACAATGTTATTTTGGAAAACAGAGGGAAGGAAATATTTGCTTCTCAACATACTCGGTTATGTGTAAATGTAGCCTAAGCATAACAAAGTGCAAAAAACACATAAAAAACTAACTCTATGGAGATGGATACGTTAAATTCCAGACTGTGTTGAACAAGCAGGTACAGTTTACCTTAATATTCTAATTACATTTTTTCCAACTTTTACATTTACAGACAGCTCCACATTTTACAAATCATATTAAATTCCCCACAAAAACATCTTAACATGCACCAACTCTAGTACAATTTTGCAGCAGGCCCGTAGTCCAGCTGTTCGTCCTTGTTCCCTTGTTCGGTGGAGATAAAGTAGAGTCTGTGGTGGACTGCGGGCTCAGCTAAGGATAGCAGCGGTCGTGATAGATTATAACAGGCCCTGGGAAGTCATGCAAACTAGCAGGATCTGAAAAGCGTGTAAGACCGCAAAGCCAACAAGCCACTTCTAGTTGCTGGGTTTATCTTGCACCACTGTCCCCACACACACAAACACACACGAGCAAGCATAGCAATAGCGGTCGCAGACAGTCTTTGGCTCTGTTCCCTATCCCCTGCCTTACAAACATAATTTATCACCTGCAGGGTCTACTGAGTGTGTGAATGTGTGTGCACAAAAGCTCTGGCCTGATCCACTCCCACTGTAACCCTATTAAGATACAGCTTGATGAAAAAAAGGCTTGGCTGAGAAATACTAAGTCCGACTCCAAATAAAGTTGGACTCAGGGTGCAGTAAAAGTACATTAAAAGAGAAGGGAAAAGTTAACACTCCAATTATGAAAATAAAAATGTATAGAGGAACTGAGGAATGACTAAGGAATTTGGCTCTTAAAGTAACCCTTAAAATGAACTTTAAAATGAAAGTATTATGCAAAATCAACTTTTTTTGGAGCTTTCTCTTATGTTATAACGTTCCCTCATCAAAAACTGCACTGAAGAGGTATTTTTATTATTATTATTAATAAGTGGTATGGGTCTTGGGTAGAAATACATCAATTTACACAAAGGCAGACTGACTGAGAAAACTTTTATTCACAACATAACATTTCTATTACATGTTCTTCCTTCCTTGCCTCCTTTGTGAAACTGCTGACATGGACTGCTACAAGTACCTTGGTAACAGCTGCTGTCGAGAATTCATTGTAGACTTAGATTCAGACTTAGACAAAGTTTATTGGAAATGACTTGTAAATTGTAGTTGCAGTTACATGTTGTGTTCATCTTGATCATGAACCAACTTGTATCCATGGATTTTTGAAGACCTTAGGCCCATACCTAACACCCTGCCAAAAATCTAAATCTTTTCCAGAAGTGCACGATTTTCATGAATTTCCCCCTGGGTACAAGTGAAATAATAGATTTGCCTCGGGTGTTTTGTGGAGTGGATAAGACTGTTTTTAGTGGCAGGATAACTATGACCATTGACATGCACTAGCCTCGCATCAGCGACCTCTGCAAATACAAGAACTGGATGGAATATTTTTAAAAAGTGTCTCCACACGTCTCCAACACTCTGACTCACTAGGAAATGAGGTCCTATGTCCAGAATTTCGAACTGTCTCTTTAACACTTAGTAATTGTTAATAATTAATACACCCTAGAGCCTCTTTGAAAAGAAGTGAATTGAGACAAAACCAGATCTAAGCATGACTTCATAAACAGGACAATAACAGAATGCAACATGGTCTAAGTGAGCCTCAAAACAGAATTTAAACACTTTTTTTTTTTCTTGTCACTTTTTACCTAACCAAACTGAAGTCTAAAAACATCTGTATTTTAAAATCAAATCCCAGTGTAATGGCAGTGTAAAATGTCCTCATGTCACAAGAATGTGCAATTAATCCAATTACTTGATTAATCACAATTAGTACATTTAAGGTTAACAACATGGAGAAAGAACAATGATTTAAAACTTTGAAGTGCATGTACAAGAAGCTGCTGTGGGTTGGAGCTTTATGAATACATTCTTAATAGCCTATTTCATCTGTTCTCCTCATGGTGAGCCTGATGCACTGCACTTGCTCTGTACCCTCTCTGTGCGAATAATTGCCTGAATAATCATTTCATCTTATGATTTAAAAAAAAAAAGTTATTATCTTTTTGAACACAACCCATTATGTTACAGACTGTATTCTCCTTTAACAACGTGCCAGCGTGTTGTATAATGGGCTGTTTCCATGGAAGCTGAAGTGACTCTGTACTGTATGTGTGCGGTGCGGTGTGCTGCACAAAGGAACAGGATCAGGAGATACAAGGCAAACCCCTGCTGAGAACTCAAACCTGGCTCAGCGCTCATCTCCCTGCCTCGGCTTCCTGCTCAGACTTGCAGCGTCAGTCATTCCGGACAAACCGCCTTTAACAAGCCTACAGCAAAGTACAACATGGAGACACACGGAGACACAGGGAGAACATGCACCATACTGTTATTTAATACATGCGCAAGGCTTTTTGTTTTACCACATAAATATAGAGTGTGGGTTTAAAAACAGGATCAGGATTGAAGTTTACATCAAACGTATTTCAAGGTAGTAACAGTACGCTGCGACGGTCATTCTGCAAAGCCTCCTCTTCATCCTCCTCTTCTTTGCTCATTCTTCTGCTAAAAAGGGGAAAGACAGAAAATAAGGATACAGCATTCAGATAAAGTGAAAGTACTAGCTGATTGTGTAAACATTAAAACAGGGAAATATTTTAGATTAACCCCAAAAGAACTACCTATCCTTGTGGAGTAGCTTTAACCTCACGCTAACACCGGACTGATATGTGTGGCTTGGGCTGTCATGATAACCGCAAAAATGAATCACCGTGGTGCATGTTGGGCCCACCGCGATCACCACACGTGACCAACGTGACCTGAGCCAGAGACCTGCACGGGTCCATTTTTAGACACCCGCACCTGCCCGGACCCGTTAACATTCCACTCGTTACCGCCCGTGCCCGTGATAACCCAGGACTCACTCAGGACTAACCCAGGACTCACTCAGGACTAACCCAGGACTAACCCAGGACTAACCCAGGATTAAGGTACGCCTGCGCAGGCCGTCTGGTGACTGCAGGCAGAGTGTAGAGCTCCATGCCACACAGAGGTAAGTGCAGCCGTCGCCCGATCGTGCTTTGCAGACACCCTGCTCCGCGTGCTCAGGGTTTTCTCTCTCTTAAGTCCATGGGTACCTGACCAGGACTCTGACCCAAGCTGCCACAGTGGGAGCTGGAGAGATGCAGCGGCACTTGTTCCAAAGCCAAATGTTACTTCTCCCAGGCTACACACGCTATATCCATGCGACAACAAAGGTACATGTGCATCTGCGCAACAAGCACATCATCGGAGAGAGTTTTCAGAGCCTCTGGTAATATTGTAACTCCGGGAGTTTGGGGGTGGGGGAGGGGTTGCGGTATCATCGCATACGGAGGTGTTGAGCTGCTATACCGCACCACAGGAGAAATTCCCTAACTGCGACAGCTTTATGCGTGGCACTGAACTGAATTCTACTAGGGATGTAATGATATTCAAATCTCTGGGTATGATATTATCACGATATGCATCTCACAGTACAATCTCACAGTATGATATTTTGGAGAGGTTGATATAATTGAAGACAGGACACTTTTTTGCTTTCAAAATACCCTGACAAGATTATGATGCGAATTATTTCCATCATAATCCCAAGAATTCAAGTAAAAACATATTTCTTCATGCTGTCTGCGCTGAAATGAATCATGGGATATGTAGTTCCCGATGTTTATTCAGTATTACTACTATAAAACCATGCATTTAAGCAAAGGATTTTGTAATTCCATATATTGTCACAGTATCTGTCATCTGTCATCATACAATAATGTGACCCTAAGCTAAAGCTCCTGCTCTTTCTGATTTAAAATTTGACAACTTTGGATTTCGGAGGTTGTGTCTAATCTTTCTGACATAAACCAGGTATCAGACGTGAACAGGGGCAGAAAAATGTGTATGTTTTTATAACCTGGACCTATGTCAACAAAACTCATGCATATTTAATGAAGGTCAGGAGCCATTCTGTTTGCCCTCTGTGTTATCCGCGGTAATCCGGCGGTTACACGGTCTACACTGTATGTGCCATGCTCTGCTGTGGGCCCGTAGCCACACATTACCCACACATTACCCACAGAGGAAGAAGGACGCTCGGCTGCCCTCTCCTGCTCCTGCACATACATTAAGCAGCACATTAGGAGCCTGTAGCAGCCGCGCTGTCAAAGCTGAAGTCGTTGTGTGGCTAACGATCCAATACAAGGCGCATATATCCAGCAGAGACGCACTGACGGGGCACAAAAAGGATTACCCCCCTATGGGACCACAGCGAGGGTATGGGAGCGCGGGGAGCACAGAGTGTAATAGATAACACGTCCATTATGGTGAGAATGGGGAATCTAACACACATTTAGATTTGTTCCAGTGGAGGATCATGCTACACTGCAAAAAATAAATGTCTGCATCAGTTACAGTGACTTGAATTCTGAGTGTTTCCAGGTCCTATGGTGTTGCTGGATAGCCAGGCTGGTGCCACCGAGTGCCTCCGCTCAATTTCATTTCTCTCCAACAACTAGGTCAGGAATTGGAATACACTAGACGGCTTGCAAGAACCGAGTTCGGGCACCAGCCAATCAGCAAAGAGCCATACATTCTATGTTGGCAACAATTCCCGAGATCTAGGATTTAAAGCCGGAACAAAGAGAATGTTGATGGTGAATTTTATCAAGTGGAAAGACGTTATTGCCCTTCTTCTTACAGGATTTGGGAAAAGCTTAATATACCAGTGAGCCCTTTTAGCGGCGCATTACATACGTCACGACCAAATATCAGCGATTGGTTAAATAAAAAAAGTACCCGCCTACCGTCGAGCGAACGAATTCTAATGCTGCGAGGTCAGACAGTTTCTACGAAGTGAAACCAGCTGATGAATTAGGCTAGTAGTTGGATACTTGACATAAATATTAAATGATTATTATCAGGAAAAATAAACATATTTTAATTAGTAAAATATTCATTTTTGTCGATATTACTCACCCCTACTGGATACTAAATACATTTTTATCCCTAAAACTGAATGAATGTGGCTTGTGAATGAGAGAGCGGAGATGGTACAGATTGGCAGCCTCACTTTTGGCAGTCGTATTTTATCACCACCAGGTGTGGAATGAATGAATAAAGCTAAGTATGAATGTCCAAACAGAGTTATATAAGTCCACTGTATTATTAATAAACACTGATTACAATAGAACATTGCATTGTGGAGCAGAAGTATTTGTAAGTAAATTTGTAAGGTTCTGCAGTAAACATCATGCATTAATCTGCTGTTTCAGAATACTTGTGTAATGTAGTGCAAAAATGTTGGTTTTCTTTTTTTCTTAACTTTTTTTTAACAAAAAGTCTGTTTTGAATAACATGAATCACTGTAGTTAACTGTAAGAATAAACAGGAACCATATGAGTATCTGCTTACCATAATTAAATTCAAGATAAAAACTTGAATCCTACAATATTTGTTTTTAAGTATTTCTGAGTAGTTTCAAGGTTTACTTTTCATCCTTTCTGAGAAAAAATGATTTGCTAGTGTAATGAGAAAAACATTCTACTTCACAGGCAGATCATTTTGTTTGAAATAATAAAAAATAAGTTGTCAAACCATCCATATCCATCCTATAAATCTGATAACCCACTCACAATGAGAGAGACAGATTTTCATGTTATGCAGTACAATCATGTACAGGTTTAAAATGACCCTCAGGGAAAGTGCATCGTGTGTTTGGCTTCAGCAGAGTGCTTTCATATCTCACCCACCGAGTGTACAGGCTATTCCCTCCAGGATTCTCCGCTCTGCTGTTACTGGGAGCAACAGTGAAGACCTCTGACCCGCTCTCTGAGGCGAACATAAACAATGGTAAACACAATTAAACAAAGGCTACTGTTTGTGTAATTCATTAACTCTCATCAAGCAGCAACCTTAAGAGACTAACGCAATGGAATGAATCAAACAGGAATAATGTTACAGAGCTGTCAATAAAGAGAATAAAGGCACATCATTTTTTTTATTACAATATTTTTACATTAATAATTAAGAAGCTTTGTACAAACTGGATCATTGTAATCTTGAGAACACTAAATTATAACATAAAACAAGTCAAATCAAGATAATTTTTGTAATGAAGAATAAATTAGCATTAGAACTGTTATCCATAAAAGCTGCTTTAAATCAGACTCTTACACAGTTCCTTTGTAAGTTGATTTTGCATTATTCGTCATAATAATGAAAATGAAAAGTGAACATTTAGTTATTTACATACATGTATTTCCTATGGTCATGCTTTGATGCCTTCAACTTTAATTCTGACTATAATTGCTGTTTTAATGTAGTAATAGTAAAAAAAAAAAAAAGTACACAAAACATATGAATAACATTTTATTATGAAACTTTTCCCATATGTACATAGCACTGTACGTGTTCCTTTTAATCTGATCTCTTTGAGTGAAAAGGAATACATTTCATTCGAGCTTGGATCTTGTATTTATTCATATTTCTAACGCTTGTTGAATTAATTCTTTAGATTTTTTTTTATAGCAATAAACTGGCAAAAAAACCTAACAAACATAACTGGAGAACTTTAAAAGAAATTGCAGTTTTCTAGCACCATACTTTTACTTATTTTTATTGAGGTAACTCATCATAGTTGAGTAAAGGTTTTGGCTAGTCTTCCCACAGTGAGTTTGTTTACACCTTACCTTCTGTTATGATTCTGTTTTTCACTTTTTTATAGTTTCATTAAAATCTGTCTTTTAAATCTTCCGGTATTAATTCATATTTCTAACGATTATTTAAAGGTGCATTATGTAACTTTTCTGGTGGAAGGTCCGTGAAATGAAATTATGCTCCGTGGAAATGTCTGAAATGTTCCACAGTATGGCATTGAACAGCTACTTTTTTTTATATGTTATGGAATTACAGGTGATTTTATACCTCAGAAACCTACCTAGAAAAACAGGTATTCTGACTGGGAACGGGGTCGCCTGTCCACAGATCTGACCTGTAACTCGGTCTGGTTTGGTCTCCATGAAGACAGAAGATAGGTTTAATGCCATACGGTGAAACATTCCAGACAAAGCAATAACATCTTCATGGAGAAAAGCATTTGACAGACCCTCCACCAGAAAAGTGACACCTTTAATTCATACCTTTACAGTTTTTTTAATAGCAAAAAACAATTACGAAATATAATAATGGACCAAATGCACATTGCCTTTACCCTTGACCAGCATTCTCAGCTCCCTCTCCAGTCTGGACAGAGTCTGCGCCGTCGCGTCTGCCTCCAGGTCGGGGTCCTCACATCCAGTCTGGTCTACTCCGCTCATCTCTACACACACAGACACACAAAAAACAACTTCAGTGACGCAACTTTCAACACGCGGATTCTACAACAAAGGCCCGTATTCCGAACGGCATCACATAAAAAGCCAGCTGAGGATAGTCGCAGGAACAGAGGGAGACGAGGGCGGGCGGAGAACGGATCACAACAGCTAGCGGAATGAGTGCTGTCTAGTCCTCGAGTCACATCAAATTGAATCAGATTGAACATCCATCCCCACCTGCTCACTGTAAATTACATCCAGGCCCCCATTGAGAAGCTAGGAGGTAGTATATGTGTGTGTATGTGTATGTGTGTGTCTACTGCAGACTAACGGGTTTCATCTCCAGTGTTAAGTTTTTCACTCGTTGTGTCCTTCATTGTCCTTTGCCTCTGTTAACCTCACCACCGCTCATCCCTCTGTCCTTCTATCTCTCTTAAACTGGTACAAAAGCATGCAAAAATTTGGTGAACCTGCTAGAGATGACTTGCACGCAGTTGTATTTGCTCAAGTACATTAAATATTTGGGGAACATTTAAAGAAACTGTAGTTTTCAAGCACCGTATTTACTCCTCCTTGAGTCATATCTGTCATATATCTGTGTCTTTTATTTATTTTATTTATTTATTGCTATCCAGCGATTTTGCTTTTTTTATTTTACCGGTTCTATTATTTTAAGACTAGTATGACTATTTTCGTAATTTAGTTTATCATTTTATTATTTTTGTTATTATTATGTATTTGGAAACTGTTTGTTTGTGAATTGAATTGGATATTTTTACTCAAGTAACTCAGTTTATTAAAGGTTTTGGTTAGTCAAAACAAACGCGCCATAAATACGTTTGTTTACTCTTACTTTCTGTTATGATTCAGTTTTTCATTTTATGTTTTAGTCAGCTCCATTGCCTAAACGATGTGACTTATCAGTTACTCTTACTGTGCACGATGCAGCTTTTCTGGAGGATGGTCCATTACCTCGTTGTCTCCATTAAAGAGGTTATTGCTTTGCCTCGAAAGTTCCATCATGTAGCATTAAAAGTGTCTCATTGAGGTAACAGAGTCAGACAGACACCATCAGGCAAAGTTACAGATGTGGAGAGGCTTTTTTACTGTGAGGATGGGTCCCAAGTTTTCCCATTTCTCGGCAAAAAAACCCCACAAAATTTAACAAATGCAAGGACATGTTTAATGCAGCGATGTAGAGTATTTCAGACAAGAATCTGGCAAAGCACCTCCATCAGAAAAGTTACACAGTGCTGCTTTAAAATGACTCACACTTAAGTAGCAGCTTCCCAAAACACCTCTTACAGTTTCTTGGCATCTGCTTTGTACAACACAACTTTAGTAATATTACCGTATTTATGAAAGTGAAAGTTCTCAACCTTGAGTACATTTTTTGCAGCACAATGTGTTTCCATGCACTCTCAGAATGTACGAGAAAGCAGCAATAACATAAGTAACTCACTTTTTATATGTGTTCCCACCCACCTACAGCTAAAACGAACACAGATGTTTGTCTAAATCTTTTGTTATTGTCATGCAAATCACTGCACAATGGGGCACGGATGATTAGGAGTAAAAATTGAATTACATAATAATAATAAGTGCTATAATTAACAATGATTGCAGTACTTTTTTAAAGGTCTTATATTAGACAAAATTGACTCTTATAAGCTGTAAGTCATGTTTGAATGCTGTTACCTTATCAAAAAAACTTACCTGGAGTTGTGTTTTGTTTCATTCACATATTTAAGTGGCCTGTGGGCTTCTACCCTGTGTTTTTAAAGTTTCATTCATATGTTAATACGCCCTGTAATTTGCCCTGTTGTATGCTGTGTATGTTTTGGGACTTTGGAGTGTCAATGGTGAATGTATATGGGACAGATAAGGGGTGTATCTCCAACCTTTAGCATCTGCCAATCTGTTATGGGACACGTGTTGGGACAAAGTGCTGTGTAAGTTTCCATGAAGATGCTAACTCAACAGTTATGCTGGTATAAAAGGCATCCAGTTTTTCTGTGCATCAGTGGGGGAACGCCGACTGCGTTGTCGAGGGACGACCGACGCACAGAGAGACGCCGCGTAGGCAAAATCATGCTGAATCAACTTGAATCTGCCTGAATTAATAAAGAGACCTTTTCTAACACTCCAAGCCTCTTTCTTAAGATCCTCTGTTCAGGCTGCCTCCAGGAGAAGCTGACAGGCCCCACATTATTAGTTTGTCCACATCTCCAAAGCTCAAAACGCTCTATTCCACCTTCTGATGTCATGTAGTGGTCGTTATCAAGTTAACAGCTACATTTTTAGTTCAGTAGAAATGGGCAATTCCAGGGTTGAAACCATCCAAATGATTCTCGTGAAAGTGCGTGGTCTAACAGAGTGGCACACTTCCTGTCGTACTGTTCAGCCCTCTACTCAGGCAGTTTGGGAGAGGTATGTGGTTGCTTTTTGTGGACAATGAGGGACAGAGACTCAGTTCACGTCCTTACTCCTTTACTTTATTTATTTCAAAACGAACAATGAAAAGCTGTGTGCAGGTGCATAACACAAGTTTCCACCAGCCAATAGAAATGACACTTACGATATTTGTACAAGGTATGGTTCTGATGAGGAAACCGCATTATAACAGATCAGAAAACACTATAATATGCCCCCTTTAACATTTTACATAAGTTTGTATATTTGTGGCAGCTTTTTGGTCTCCTAAATCCACACTGCATAGCATTTTGGGGACAGATTGAGATATGACACCTCTCCAGAACTCTCAGATTTGAATCTCTATATTTCACACTGAATCAAACAGATAGTGACGCTCTGCACTTATTTTGCATTTAGAGTGTTCTCTGGTGACCTGGAACTATAAAATAAACCAGTGGACAGTCTATTGTTGGTAAAACTTGAGTATGGGGAATATTACGGGACAACCTTTTAACTTTTGTTTTTGTCTGTTGGTTTTACAAGACTGCTAAAAACCTTTAAAGGGCCCTTACTGTGCCATTTTCTGATCTGTGTTATAATGTTGTATCCTTTGTCCTTGTATCATGTGTACCTCTCTCAAACTGAACACACTTTGCTCCACCTTGTGATGTCATGTGGTAATACAGGAAATGCTCCACTGTGTTTTAGGTGGTGGTGGAACAGTGGACTTTCAGCTTTGGAGATGTAGACAGACTAATAATAAAGACTCAAAACATAACTCCAGGTATGTTTTTGAGGAGGTAACAGCATTTTACACAACATATGACCTTTTGTTTTTCTAATTGTTACTTTGTTTGGTGGGAAGGTACCTGTGGTAAATATTTGTCATAGTTTACATCAATTAAGTGTTCATTTGTGAAGAAAAAAAGAAAAGTACAAAAAAAAAAGAACGTACCGCTTAGTTCTAAAACAGCTCTACCGATGTTATCAACTCTGAAAATACCACGCAAAATGTACCTTGTTTCTGCAGATGAAACTTTTTGTTGTTGTGTTTTACTAAACTAAACTTTTTATTTATTTTATTTTATTCATAACAGGTCTGAGCTCTTATTGTTATGGAATTACCAACACATACTTTATGTCACATCTGCTGTGCGTGTCCACCTTAGAAGTTAAATTAGAAACTTCACACAAAAAAAACAAACAAACAAAACAGCATACATACAGTATAAAAAAAACAAACAGGCAACACTTTTAGTAAACTCTTCAATATAGCGACTATAAGCCGATACTTATAAGCGCCTTACACAACGATGCGGCATATATATGGATGGATTCTTTGTTTGGCACATTGTCCTTTCATATATACGGTCTATGGTTTGGCAACACCGCGGATATGTGCAGCCTGAGCACAGAAAACACCTCTGTCTGTGCGGTTCACACATGGATATAGGGTTCACATGAAGGTGCAGCGTTTGCTAGCGATGTTATCGGCACACTAAAACTGTTTATTGACGTGTGATAAAATAAGTTATGATGCTAAATTGACATCAATGAGGGGGATACATCTTACCCGTATGCGTAAATGACGAGAAGAAATGTCTCAAACTTCAATAGCTGGACATCCACTCATACCTGATTGGACAGATCTAAACTAGCCCCCGGGAGAGCCTGAAATCTGCTGAAATCCTACAAGACATTGACATGATACAGACAGGACAGCGTCTCGTTCTGCAGGAAACACGCGCGGTAGACCACAGGGAGTGATGGGGGTAACACACCGAGGAAGATGCTGTTTGATTATGTTTTGAACAGTTGTTTAGTGCTTCATGCACACACCCTCCTCATGGAAAACACACGAAGAAATGCAAAATGGCGATGGCAGCGTGACGAACTGACTCAATGCAAAAAGACAACAAAAGCTTTCAGAGCCGATAAAAGCAGACGGCCCGAACTTGAAAACGTTCTTGAAGACGTGGACACCTGCGGCTTATATTCAGGTGCGGCCAATATATGTACAATTTGAAAATGTTGTTCAAATTTAGTTGATGCAGCTTATATTCTGGTGCGCTCAATAGTCCGACAATTACAGTAATGATGTTAAGTCTGTTTTAGTGAAATGAGTGGTCTAACCTGTCAAATGCTCTTTAGATAGTTACAGTGTTGAAATTGTGATACAATACCACTCCACATAGACCAACCAGCCATTTGTGCAATCATTATGACTCAATATTTACTGATTAAGACAGATTCAAAAACAGTTCTTGGCTGGAAATTCCGTTAATAGCATCATTAAAATAAAGCAGCGGCTCAGGGTTTAAACCAAGGTCAGTGCTTCCCCTGCTGATTTCCATGTTGATGTAACAGTTTCGCACATTTTAGGCCAAAGAGGTGACTATGTGGAAAAGGTCATGCGTGATTTATTAATTCTTTGTGTAACCCTTAATTAATCACTAAAATCCCACTAGTGCGATATTACAGGCCAACAGTTGTAACTATTAAAAGTTAATAGAGACCATTCAAACAGTCACATGAGCATTAGTCAACTGTGAGATCGGTGCTGTGATATCGGTTCAGTCGTGGGTCTTTA